TGTATAGTGAATTAGTTACAGTATATATACTTATATGTAGAAAGGTTATATCTAAATTAAAAACTTTACAAATTAAAAGAATGTTAGATTAAACAGATTGACTACTTAACTGTGACCTTATAAATGATTAAACTACAAAATCTTATGGCCTAATGAGCTATTATCAGATTAAAAAAATAGTAAATTATGTTTTTTTTTTTTTTTTTAAATAGTACATTATGTTTTTATGTACTATTATCAGATTAAAAAATAGTACATTATGCCATTTAACCACTTACCTTCGCTAGGTTGTATGTTTTGAAAAAGTATAATTAATTGCAATGACAGAAGTTATCACGTGACCCTTTAAAACATAAAGAGCTTGTCGAGAACAATTATAAAATAAATTACACTAAGCAGTTACATAAAATAAAATCTGTAATTGTTATTTAGTTCAATTTGGAAATCAAGTAATAATGTGACTCTTCTTTCTCCAAGAAAAAAATATCTTTATATATGGTCTAGATTCCAGAATACTAGGAGTTAGTTCAAATAATTCACTGAATTCCCTCAACATAAGAAAACTGTTTATCATGTATTAATCTTTTATTTCTGATTGCAATAAGAAATCAAAATAGTTTGTTACCTGGTCAAAGCCATTGACAACTTTAACTAATATGGATGAATATACTTTGCAATACAGTATATATACTTTGTGTCTTCCCCAAAAAGGTTATAAAAACCACAAAATTAATTAGGTCAGAAATGACATGGTGCATTAATTGTTTGTACCAGATAATACCAGATATGATCCTTTGCAATACAGTAATTGCGATGTAATGTGTTTTGAGGGTTTACGATTTTCATACATATGTTGTGTTACTCGTGATTCAAATATTACAGTCTAAATTTTACTATTGCCAATTTGCCACCTATCAGTGTTATATATATTGTTTGTATTTGTATTGAATGGTTATCCAGTGATCTGAGCAATTCATTCCACACAATCAAGATCATAGTGGTTGTTGGAGAGGTTGGCTGATCATGATTAGGATGTGAGGTTCACATGCATTTAGTGTTGCATGGTGATTGGTGACTTGACTTTTGACATAGGGAATTAATTGAAATGCACCAAACATAAAATATTCATAGATTGCATAGAAACCGTGTGTAAAGTGGTTTCAGTACAATGTATATGAATTGGGGTGTATGTGTGCGCTTCATTATTGTTAATTACACTATTAATGTAACTACAGTTAGACTGTTTTTATCATATCTCACAATAAACTCACGTCGTCTAATAAATCAAGAGCCAAGATTAATAAATTAATCAATACATTAATGCATGACTAAGTATATTAATTTGCTCGCATGGATATATAAAATATATTCTACTTTAATGAAGTCAGATTCCCACTCTTGTATTTGAAAAAATGTACATCATTTGTTTATTTCTTAAACTAATTAAATGACAAAAATGTCTCTCATAGACTAATATGGAGTACATATTCTCTTATTTGGGAAATTGAAGACAATAATGCTAAACAACATACCAATACAGCACATTTATTTTGTGTTTTTTCCTAGTGTCAGTATTGAAATGAAAATAGAATACTGCAAATGAAGAAAATAAGCAGGAAATCTCAGTAGAGTAAAGAAATGCAAAAAAAAATCAAAAGAACAGTGAAGAAAATGTGACCATAGAACTGAGAACCTTTCTTCAGTTTAGAATGAAAAAATTGTCCAGTTATTGATTGCAATATTACTTTTTTATTGACTTATTGATGTTTAACACTACATTAATCTTAATTTCAGGAAGCAATGAAAGAGAAGTTTTCACAAGTTTCTCACAATTCTGATGGTACCAGTCTTATCATAAATGATGTTGAGATAGTGGAAAACCAATTAGGTATCAGAAAGGGATATCGTCGTGGGTTCAGAAATGGTTTTGTAGCTCTAAGCCATCAACATTCATCCTCATCTTTTGAAGAGGCTTCTAGAAAAAGGGTGAAAAATGTTGAAGAAAAAAATGCAGAACTTACAGAAAAAGTTACAAGTTTGGAGGAAAAGTTTGATACAATTCAGAAGCTACTTGAGCAGCAACAACACCTCCTTGAGCAGCAACAACAACTTCTTGAGCAGCAACAACAGCACCAACAGCCGCCACCACCACGGTTCCACCAATATCAACATTCTCCATCATATTCCCAACAGCAGCATGCCCCGCCAAGCTGGTATCAACAGCCGCCAAGCTGGTATCAGCAGCCGCCAACAATCACCTGAATGAACTATAAAGACAATTATTTTGGTAGATATATTTTGGAGCTTTTTGATGGCTAGCTAGCTAATTTCTAACTATTTTGGTATGTGTTTTTGGCCTGCATTTTCATAATTTCATTCAGTTTAAAATGATGTTTTAATTTTTGAGGATGTTTGGAACCATTTGATGTTAAAGCAGCTAGTACATACTTTTAGTTGTTTACAAAATTGGAGAATTTGTAGTTTCATCATGAGATTAAGAGCTCGTTTGGTGGCACTTTATTGTTGTGATAATCAATTTTTTTCTTTTTAGAATGATGTTGTGGATGTATGTATTTTTTAGTTCTGGATGTTTTCGTTTAATAAGTTTTTCTGGAACACAAATTCAACCGAGCAAAAACCAAAAAAAAAATATAATAATAATACAAATTTAATAATAATAATAATAATAAATCATATTAGGGACAGTACAAGTTGTGTCTAATAAGTATTGTAATTAGGGACAGACAATAAACCATCTCTAAAATATCGACTATTAGGGACAGTAAATGCCGTCCCCAATAATAAATCAAAGGGACTATTAGGGACAGTAAATACCGTCCCCAATAATAAATCAAAGGGGACGGTATTATTTGGGATAGTAAGTCCGTCCCTAATAAATCAGCCTATTTGGGACAATAACTCCGTCCCTAATAAATCAAACGGGGACGATCTTATTTGCGACAGCAAGTTCGTCCCTAAAGGTTGAACTTTTTAGGGATGGGCAACTTTTACCGTCCCTAAAAATCTTTTGGGACACAACTATTAGGGACGGTCGATTTCGATCATTAGGGACAGTCTTAGGACTTTTAGGGACAGATTCGATCGTCACTAAAAACCTAATTTCTTGTAGTGATCTATGATTTTAGAGGGAGAAAATAGTGTAGAGAGAGATATATTTTGGCTGAAAGAAGAAGAAGGAATGAGCCAAAAAAATGATCATGTAGCCTTATATGTAAGGCTTGGTCAATGTGGGGTCCACTTGACCCCATAATGTCAATTTTGCCCTTTATATGTATAACCAAACTAAACATGCCACAATTATGCACATAAGCACCCAATCACATAAATTTGTATCAAATAAAAATAATAGAGTGCAATGATTCTAAAAAGTAGTCCCGAGCAAGAAAAATTAGGGTGCAGGACCTACACGAAACCTTCGGGACCAAAAATCTGAAAAATGTCAAAATGGCCCAAAATATATTTCTAAGAGTTCTAAACTCAAAGAAACACCCAAATCACTTCCGGAACCCTCATGGCATGCTAATTGGTGTGTGACACGCAAAACGAGGCACAAAATAAATAAATTTAGAAAATTCAAAAAATGCCAAAAAAATGGAAAAATGAAAAAATCGAGAGACATTACATTGGGGTTCATGGACAACACAATAAACCTACAACTCCAATTTTATGTGCTCCCATTGTGAGGTTTAACTTCTTCATACAACTAGTTATCGTTGTCCGAATATTTCATTTTTACTTCACTTAGGTTCCCAGGACAAAAAGTAAAAGCTACTCGCTTCATTGTGATAGCACTAACACCCACATATATAACTCACCACATTAATTATAGTCATCCGCAATAGCATAATAGATGTAAAAGACAATAACAACTTCTTCTATTTTAAGCTAAAGTACCTGAATTGTGTCAAAATTTTCAAATAATTCCCTTAAATAATTTGTGCATAATACCTCTTGAGCTATCACAATTTGTTGTAAAATGCCCCCATGCCTGAGTTTTTTTATTTTATTTTATTAAATGACCATAATGTCCTTTCTTATTGAATTACACTTAATCCATTTTTCTTATTAAAATAATTATGAAAAAATTCATACTAATTTGATGACATATTCTTCATTAAATTTGCATAAATTTACCTTTAATTTTTAAATTAATTGTTTAAATAAAAGCTTAACCAGAATTATTTTAAAACAATTTAAGTAATTTCTTATTTTTTTCATGAATATATTCTATGAAAAGGATGGTATTTTTTTAATTTAAGTAATTTATTATTTTTTAAGGTATTGTATGTAAAGAATGTATTTTTTTACAGTAAAAAAGTTTAAACCGAGTATAATAAGTTTTTTTACAAATAGTAAAATTTTAATAATGAGTTAATCATTTTTTAAAATTGTAGTTACAATCTTTTTCTTTTTTCATTTTAATGATAAATTGATAATAATAATAATAAAATTAAGGTAAAGGGTGTAACTAATATTTAGATAAGTGAAATGGTAATAAAAATAATTTAATAAGAAATGATAAATTTAATATGAAATGGTAAAATAGTATTTTGTGATGAATTTGTACTTAATTACAACAAATAAATAATTAAAGAGAAAATTTTGTAGTTCATAGAGGTTATTGCAAAAGAATAATAGATCAAAAGAGTGTTTTGCACTTTAGCTCTATTTTATAGGAAACAGAATGGTATGTCTTTTATATTAGGTACTAAAGGGATATGAGACTGACTCTAGTAAATAAATATCCATTATTTTTTTTCATATAATAAAAAATATTCTACATAAATAAATAGAGATAACCGATGTCTAGCTATGAATCCATTTGCCAATTAGCAATTATCAGGTGACATATAAAAAAAAATACACTAACAATTTATCAAGTGACATAAAAAAATTACATTACATATTTCTTGTATCAATTCCCAAAAGAAAATTAAGATGATATATGTGTTATCCCTCGCTCACTCGCTCTTCAGTACTTATGCTTTCTTGGTGAGGGCGTGTGATGATATGATGGACGAAAGTGCAGAGCTTAAGAATCCGATGAGGAGAAACCCCGCCGATATATAGGCCATGTTGTACAAGTCATCAAACTTTGAATAATAATCAGAAAGATCACTATTAATGTCGAAAAACTCAAAATTTCTGCTGTTGTTCAGTGCCTTCTTAAGATCTGAAGTAGCACCAAATACTGCACCAACCCCTACTGCTAATAGGAATGAAATAACCTGCTCAAATCCATTCAATATTTAATCTTGTTAGATTAAGATGTCACTAATTTAATTTTTTTTTTTAAATTTGATTTTAAAATTAAGAAAAAAAAAACTGATATTAAATAGGCAGTCCATGTATATATATCCTGTGATGTAAGGAAAAACTGTAAATGTATCTAATTATATACACAACTATATATATGCTCTTCATGCATCTAGACATTTATTGCCCTATATATATATAGGTAGTGGAAGCATGATCGAGTAGCTAACCTTGTCACCATAGAAATCAAACTGAAGAAGGCGATAATGGTTTGATAGGCGTTTCCCTGTTGTTAAGTAGTAGACTGCAAAGGGAATCTGCAACAAGGTGTAAGCAAATCCCACAAAATTGGTAAAAAGCATGAACCTGCATGCACACACCATGAGTACCCAAATTAGTACATTTTAATTATATATATATATATATATATATATCAAAAACTTTAGTAGTAGTAATAATATTAGTAGTATGTGAGATATGTGAAAGAGAAATTTAATTTTACTTGTAAGCATTGAATTCCGAGTAGGAGATAATGAATTTTTTCGAGTTAATGGTACAGGCAGCACTGTTCATCTTCATGAGCGCGACGGAAACTGCAAGGGAAGCAATGGTGACGGCTCTAGCCACCAGTGTGGCTAGTGGCACCTTTGATCCCTTAGTCTCGTCCTCAATATTCATTCTCGTAATGATGAAACTGCTTCTTATTTTTCAGAGCTTTCCGGTGGTTGTCGAGTATACAAGGAATTGCTTCTATATGCTGCTTTTTATGGATATCAAGGTACCATTCTTCCCATGCTTTTATACTGAATACATTTTGTCATCTATATATTTTAATCGTTATTATATATATATATATATATATATAATTATATATAATTAGCCTCCCAATGCACTTCTTATTTTAAAACTTTCACGGTGGACTTGACAACTAAGTTTGACTTTAGCCGGCGACTTTAGAGAGGTTAGGTTTTAAGAATTTTTTTTGTCATTACTGTTTATACACATCGAACAAGAGATATATATAAAAGAACAAAATGCTCGATGATTGCAAGAGAACTCACAACTAGACAGACTACTATACCATATATATGTTTACAGATAACCATTCAAACTCTTGCCGGCCTAACCTTAGAGGGGTATAAAGTCAATAAGGAATCGGATTTTTACATTCTGAGCTTGTGTAGAGAGTCAAGGAAGTTGCATGGAAGACGATTCTTAGAAAACCAAAGTCCCTTTTCGTACCAAATGTACGTGAACAGCTCACTTAAGAGTCAAGTAAAAACAAGCTGTATGTTTTCACTGATAAAAATACATTTACCAGGGCAAAATATGCTCATCAATTATCCGGGAGGTAAAATATATATATATATATATATATATATATATATATACACAGGGGCGGCCCTTAGACAAAAAAATATTTTGCATATACTTAATGAAAAAAAAAAAAAAAAAAAAAAAAAAAAGATAAAAGTTAAAATAAGAGTATGGATAGTTTAACAAATTGTGGAAAAAAAAAGAAACTTGAATGAGGAGCTGAGATAGAAATCTGCTGATCCCTATTAAATCTCTATTGGTTAGGGTCTAATAATTGATACAAATAAAAATTTTAAAGAAGTTATAATATAAGAAAATAAAAAAAATTGGTGCATTTCTATTGGGCAGAGTTTAATAATTGGAAGGAAATAACATTTTTAGGAATGTTATAATATAAACAAATAAAAATTTTTGGAAGTCAAAATATAAGGAAATACAAAATTTTGGGCCTTTATATTAGCTAGAGTGATAATAGAAAGAAAATAAAAATTTTAGAAAAGATATACGGTAATATGAAGAAATAAAATAAAAAAAAAATTAAAAATTTAAGGTCTTTCTATTCTTATTGGCTGGGCCTTTAGCCAACCCGCCTAAGGACCGCCTTTCAGAAGCATTCAGAATGATGTGAAGCTTTCACAAGGATGTGAAGCTTTCAGAAGGTAAAAATTGAGGACACTTGGCAAGCATAACCATTAATGAACTAGAAAATTCCAATTCAGTTCTTATATAAATAGCAGGGTGCCCGCATTCAAGTCACACAACATGACGACGACAATCATCACCACATTGAGGAGTTTTAATATTAGCGAGTTGATGCTCAATCCCAAATTCTGTACATAGCCATTGTACCTTTTCATAAGTGTACTTTGTACCCTGGTCAAATCAAAAATTTTTAATGGTACGATCATATTGAGTCTGAACCATTGTCATAAAAATTTTAAAAATAGTGTATACCTCAAAATACGTAAGACAAAGACCACAGCTGCCAACTCCAAATCATGTTTTGGATAATTAAGCTCGTGAGGCTTAAGCTTACGAGATCCATACGAAATCGGTCACTCCTCCTACATCAAAACACCTCCAAGACCCTGCAAAGAAGCATCTGTGTAGACAAGATACCCTATCCCGCCCTATGGGGTAAACAAAACCGGTGCAAAAGTCAACTTAGTCCTCAGTTTGGGTTTGATTTTTTAGGTACTAAAACAATGTATGAACTATTGATCTCAGTCAACATTCTTCCAAAAATGAAGAAATCTCAACAATTAGTCAATTCATAAGGTTTCCGTCACTTCCACGAAGGGAGATAAAGTCATTAGTTCTTAGTGATGCTTGTTTTGAGAGTGGTTTTGACGGCACAAGTTGACGAATAGAGATTATGTTTCCAGTGTTTGGTGCTATCGGTGATCGATCATCACTGCCTTAGACGATGGTACATAGCCCAGGGAGAGTATGAAAAACAAATATAGTGTGCCATGAATGCCTAATATGTAATTGACGGCGGCTTCCTCACTGACCATTTTGCCAACGCTACAACACCAATATCTGGTGGTGAATGCATTTTATATGAATTTGAATTCTTGGTTTGTGTTCATTTGAATCTGATATGGTTTTTTTTAATAATAAACTCAACAATAATTAGACAATTGTAAAAATGAAGACAATTATAATGAAATTGCATGCATCTTCATATTTGAAAGATGTGTCAATAATTGATATTAAGATATAATTTTAACTCACTTATTGTCCAATTAGTAGGTAATATGCTTAGATGATTTTGTAAAATTGAGCTAGCTATCTAGAATTGAATCCCATGCATTTAAATGAAAATTTTAATAACAATTAATGTGAAATATGCGCGTATACATATACTGGAATTCCAGTACATACTAATATATATATATATATCCCTCAAATAAAAGTTGAGCTTACATATATGATAGATTTTTAATTTTTTTTCCTCGAATTTAAGCAAATTGTATTGGAGAAGTAAAATGGAAAAGTATTCGCCTAAGCCCATCTTGTAATAGACCACAACTGGAAACCCAGAGTAGGCTACGGGCCATAAGATGACTTGGCATTAAGCCCAGCCCAGTAGAAGGTCCAACTAGTCCAACTGCAAGTTTGTGCTTCTATTCTATTACTTGGGCCTTAGACATTTAATTGATTGGATCAGACAAACTCTCTGGTGGATAAGAGTCTGGTAGAAATACGTGCACTACTAATTACTCATCTTTGATTAGGCTGCTGATCCCCAACACCAAAAACGATTCAACTCATCCATACCATACGGACAAGTACTAAACAGGTAAGGACTAACTTTTCTTTTCTCATGCTGAACTGCTAACTTAAAACTAGCTCATTGTTTTGTATGCCACTTGTTTGATAAAATATCTATAAGAAGTTCAGCCAATTGAATTTATATATGTTCTCTCTGACCCTTGAGACTTCCTTACTGCATTGCTTACCCCTTAAATCTTGATAGTAATAATTATTTTTAGGGTAAATTACTTAATTTCTCTCCTTCATTGTTAGATATGCAATGGCTGACAGTAGAGTCGAACTCCCTACCTTCCAAAGGTGCCTAGAGGACGGGCCAGACGCAGCTTGTTCTTTTTCAGAAACATCCTCAAAGAAAGTCTGAAGTACTCAAAACAAACAAAGTGAAAGAGGTGCAGAGTAAATACAATCAACTCCTCAATAGCTTAGTTATGAACAAATCTTACAAACTCTTTTCTTCTTACACTAATCATGATCAATAAAACCAAAACTCTGTTTTTCAAGTACTGTTGCTCTCACTGCCAGTTCCTGGCATAAGCTGTCTCAACATGGCCACCGCCTGCAACATGTTAGGCCTCCTGGACGGCAAGTCTTCCACACATTGTAGCGTTATCTCCAGATACCTCACCATTTCTTTGACTTCTTCTGCCTCCGCCTCGTTGGTTCCTTTACTCACAGAAAGCAACGCTGGGTCTATCACTTCCATCCCTTTTCCTTCCCTCACCTTCATTTTCACCCATCCCACCAAGTTGGTGTCCCCGAAATCCTCCTTATCCGTTGGCCGTCTTCCCGTCAAGAGTTCTAAGAGGATCACCCCGAAAGAATAGACATCTCCCTTTGCAGTGCACCGGAAGCTTTGGTAGTACTCTGGTGGAACGTACCCGGGTGTTCCTGCAAGTGTGCTAACACTTAGATGCGTGTCAAGTGCACTTATTAGCCTTGCCATTCCAAAGTCAGAGACCCTCGCTTCCATTTCATGGTCTAGTAGCACATTGCTCGACTTCATGTCTCGGTGGATGATGTGTGGGATGCAATTGTGGTGTAGGAAACAGAGTCCTTTCCCTGCACCTCTTGCAATATTTTTCCTTTCCTCCCAAGTCAGAATTCTCTTGTCTCCGGTCCTTGTTTTTCCATGAAGCATTTCTTCCAGGCTTCCATATTCCATGAATTCATACACGAGGAGCCTCTCTTCACCGACTTTGCAGTAACCCAATAGAGGCACAAGATTCTTATGCTTGATCTTCCCTAAAGTTTCCATTTCGGCCATGAATTCTCGGTCACCTTGGCAGCTCAGTTGTATGAGCTTCTTGATTGCAACACTTGAGCCATCCTTCAATGTTGCCTTGAATACTTCTCCAAACCCACCACTCCCAATAAGGCTTTCTGCTGAAAACCCATTGGTAGCCTCAATCAATTGTGAGAACTTGAGCTTCCTCAGCTGCCTCTGGAAAGTAGCCACATTAATGCTCAATGGCTCTTTTTCCCTGTCAATCTTCCATGTTGTGGTCGCACGGCAACCTTGCAAGCTATTAAGCATTTTGACTTCCTCTGCCTCTTTCCGTCTCGCACGCACTGCAATTGCCCACAAAATCAAAATGCAGACCGTAGCAATGGAAATGAGAACCCCCAAGACAGTCTTATTAGTCCAGGATACAGCTGCAGCTCTGCGGCCTCCTTTACCATCATCTCCTCCTGCACTTGTTGATGGTTGGCTACTTCCATACTGGCATTCAGGCAATGGAACCCCACAAAGTCCTGGATTGTTTGCATATTGGCTTGCAGGAAGTGTACTGAGTTGCCCCCTAGTTGGGATTTCCCCTGTTAGTTCATTACTGGAAAGATCAATTTGTACCAAGAATGACAGGTTGGAGAATGAGTCCGGGATATGCCCCTGCAATCTGTTGTGTGACGCGTCAAATACACCAAGATTCTTCAGCTGGCCAAGTGACCAGGGAATCTCTCCAGATAGCTGGTTATGGGCTAATACAAGAACCTGTAAAGCAATCATTTCGCCAAATTCGTCTGGTATTTTGCCGCGAAGCTCATTGTAAGAAATATCAAGATACTCCAGAGTCTGATACTGTGTGAAGGCACTCAGGATTGCACCAGAATATAGTCTAGTGAAATCACAACTTTTCAGTGTCGGCACCTGTTGCAACCTTTCAGGTCGGATTCCAGCAAATTCCAGTAAGCCTCCAATTCCTTTACATGAATTTCCCACATTCCGCACAAACACCAAAGTGTTGCCAGAGAGAATTCCACTCAACGGTTTTGCTCCAGGCTGCCTGCCAAGTCGAGGTGGGATCTCCCCAGTAAGCCGGTTGCTGCTCACGTCTAACCAAACCAAGCTGCTGCAATTTGCTAGCTCTTTCGGTATCTGACCACTCAAGCTATTGTTTCCGAGTTGCAGGACAGCCAGCCTTGTCAAGAGGCCAAACTCTGGTGGGATTTTGCCAGTAAGTGCATTGCTTGTGAGTGATATCCATTCAAGATTGGTGCAGCTGAATAACTCAGTTGGGATTTCACCACTTAGGTAGTTATTGTTGAGAATGAGATCCTTCAGGTTCCGGCATTTTCCCAACTCCGCCGGTATTTTCCCTTCCAAGCCATTGTACCAGACTATGAGCTGCTCGAGATTCTGTAGCTTTCCAATTTCAGGTGGAATCGATCCATTGAGGTAGTTTATGCTGAAATCAATCTTCTTTAGCTGCGAACACAGGGACAATTCAGCTGGGATTTGTCCAGTTAGAGAATTATCGGAGACTCTCAGCTCTTCAAGTGAAGCAGCCCCTGGACATATATCTGGTGGGATGGTCCCAGTGAGCTGATTGGAGCTGAAATCCACTGCTACCAATTTCTTGCAAGATGAAATGGAAGCGGGAAATGCTCCAGAGATCCTGTTATTGCTCAATAGCAAGCTCTCTAATGATCCTAGATTCTGAAGGATAGAATCAGGAAAGGGACCGGTTAAATTGTTGTTGGTCAGATCAAGAAGTTGGAGGGAAGAGCACGACGAAAAGGAGATGGGAATTGAACCTGTAATGTTGTTATCAGAAAGCTTGAGTTCTTCAAGGGAGGCACACGCCTTGCCGAATTCTGTGGGAATCCAACCAGTGAGATGATTATGAGAAAAATCCAACGTTTTCAAGCTGTTGAGATTCCCCAAAGATTGTGGGATGTCGCCCGTGAGTGAATTGTGTGACAAGTCTAGATTTTGCAGAGTCGTGCAGTTGGAGAGGGAGAAAGGAATGGAACCCGTGATTTGGTTTCCAGAGACATCGAGGTGCATCAAAGAATTGCAGGTCTCGATTTTCATAGTCGAAATCGGTCCAGTTATGTTGTTAAAAGAGAGATCAAGAAACTGCAGTTTATCAGAATACAATAAAAAATTTTGAGGTAGAGAGCCGGTTATATTATTGAAAGAAAGATCTGCATAGACAAGATTGGTGTACTTGGCGAAAAAATTATCCGGAAGTGGACCTGCAAGTTGAGTAAAAGACAGTTGTAGCTGTTTCAATCCATATGGGAGTTGTAGCAAAGAGGTTGCATTTACAGTAAAGGAATTGGCAGACAAGTTAAGGACAGTCAACATATCTAAAGAAGCCAAAGCAGAGAAAGAGATAGGGCCAGAAAGATCACACTGGCTAAGATCGAGTTGAGTGGCTCGACGTCCGCTGCATGTAACCCCATACCAAGTGCATGGATCCTTATTGAGCTGCCACCCTGAGAGGACTCCGTTTTGATCCTTCTGTGTTATTGTCTTCTTGAACATAAGAAGAGCCTCGGCATCTGTTTTGATCGATGTAGATGCGGCCTGCCCTTGATCGGCTGCTTCCGAAACCGAAAAAAACACAGTTAACATTAGTACTGTTAGGGGGAGATGATCAAGAAAAAGCTGTAATGGGTTGCTTTCCATTGGAGAGACAATTAAGTTGCAGGGAACAAAGGAGGAGGAGGAGAATAGTTTGTACAGAGAGTACTCTGTAAGTTTTGTATAGAGTGAGAGAGTAGTGAGTGCTTAGAATATGATGAAAGTGCTTTTTTGTGCTTTATAAATGAGAAAGGGGGTGGTGACGTTGGAAGGAATAAGAAAAGTGGAGAACTGGATTGAAGTTGGTGTGTATGGTTTATGTTTATGTACTCAACTACTACTACTACAGTACATAATACGGTTTTATATTTTGACTGGTATGAAACTGAAGAGAAAGGAGAGGACTATATGAGAGAGAGAGAGAGAGAGAGAGAGCATGGATTCGATTTTTGGTCAAAAGGGATTGGTCCCACAGACAAGGTCTATCTAGGATCGGCGCTTTATCTATAGGAAAAAAACAAATTAGCACTGTTTAATCCAAGGTTTAATGTCTGTCAGTGAGCAATAGAACATGAGAGAGATCATGCGTGCATGTTTATTACTAGTAAATTGTTTTTGTCACCTCAGAATCTTGTTTTGTCTAGTACCATTACACATGTGGTCCTGTATGAGAAGCATAAGGATTGATTCATGTAGAATATATATATACATATATATAGTGGATATAGTTAATTTGGCATTAGTGAAGAAAAATAAAGTGGATGCAGATTTTGTGGTGGGACCAAGGGTTGAAATATGGAGGGAATATGTTATTCATGTGGTTGAAGTGGTGCATCAAGTTCTGTTAATGTCCACCGGAAAATAAAATACTCCACGAGTAAATTAATGAAAAATTGATGGAGACCCACAAAAGGAACAGCATGAATGAACCGAACCCTGTGGACCAGTGGTTAATGGTAGTGCAGGTGATGGTGCTTTCTTGCATGACAAGTTGGGGGTTGGCATTGAATTGAAAACATAGTCACTTGGATCGAAACCATAGCTTGACACTTCACAAAATATTCGTTCAACTCCAGCTTTTTAGCTGGTTTTGGTCCCACTCTCTTGTTTGGTTAAATCATAAGTACATTTTCTGCGTTTTTAAATCAGCATGTTCAGGTTATGATAGGCAGTCAGATGTGTATATTTGGAAATTTACTTTTGTAGGACCTAAATATATATTATATTTATATATAATATATATTCAAAAATCAAATGATGTATAATGGAGACAGCACATTGGATCGGTCAACACCAGGTATGTTTCAAATTGATTCTTTTCTTTTCGTTTTGTTTATTTTTTTACTAATTAAATACAAATCCATGCTCAGAGAGATGGCATTATTTACTTAATCTGACTCCAGAATAATTTGTGAAGTGGAATTATTAAGTTTGAAAACATTTTTCATTTGCATTTCCTTTCGTGAATTCAAAACCAAGAGAAATTGGAGTAATTTTTATAGAAATGGTATTATTAAGCTTGACCATATATGTCAATAGATGATTTTTTTTAGAGTTGAGCTTCATGCATTCTTTTATCCGTATTTTTAGTATACTAAAAAATAGCCAGCTAATTAATTAAATCAAGTTACTAGAGTGTTTAGTCAATGAATATTGGTAGTAGATACTTACCAACTGTAACTAGAACAATTCGAGTCAAATAATCATAATGATAACCAAATTACATAATTAAACCTTAAGAATTAAGTTGTGAAACTAGTAGTAGTATAAAATCTGTAAAAGAAACAAAAAAAAAAAAAAAAAAAAAAAACCTAGTAGTATTGAGGTTTTGTGCAGTTGATGTAGAAAAGTGTCTCCGGGTTAGAACATGGTTTAGCTCAGAATAAAGCTAATGATATATACTGGGCTGACATCAATCAATCATATGATTAATGATATTTAGGGTATTAACTTTCCGGCCGAGGTGGGGAGACCAGAGCCGACGATAACTCCGATGCACTCACTGATCACTCCATCCCCCACAATATACAAATGATTTTTCATAATTCAAGTGGGACGCCCATAAGAGGATAAACATTAGTATAATAATTATTCAAAACCTACTTTTTTAGAGCCTATAGAGCACTATATATATATATATATATATATATATATATATATATATATTTTAGTACTACAATATCTGGCTATATATATTGCTAGCTTCTTATCTTATGATAATGGTGGATTACATTTTGACCGTTAAAAAAGGTTTTCTATGCGTACATGCTAGCTATTATTAGATTTATAATTAGTGTTCAGTTTAGTGGCCCTTTTCATAATCATTATTTGTGTGAGAAGAAACAACTGTGCGTTCATGAGTGCTCTCTCTCTCTCTCTCTCTCTCTCTCTCAAGTTTCGACTCAACACCACAAAAGTCCTCCAATATATTGCTCCAAAATCTCGAGTCCATTTTTTTTGACTTCCGTTTCATGATATATTCTTTGGCACTTGAAATGTCCGTTTTGACCTCCATACCTAAATTATTATTAGTATTTTATGTGCTCTTATTTAAACAATTAATTCCTTTTTATATATATCCATGATACATGCGGTAATAAGGGTCATTTGTCCCATATCAGATCCGAATATAAAAGCGATTGGGTATAAATGAGTGAATATGCAGCACTACTGTAATACCCCTAATTTTGGAACACGGGTTGATCAAATCCGCACACAAAATTAAGAAATATCAAACAATTAAAGTATTTAAACAAGTACAGATTACAAAATGAAATAAAGAATAAAATAATACGCTAAACAAAACTAATAAATAGTAAATCCATTAATAACTCTCCAATGGTTACAACTCGGGAATCCCGTAACTCAAGGACCCCTTAACCAAAAGTTATTATCTAAAATTTCATAAATAAATACTAATATCAAATAAAGTAATAATAATAACCTACTTTTAAATAGACCAAAAGAATAGATAAGTTCTCTCGTTGCGGATCCTCAACCTTGAGACTTGAACTTCTAATAACCTGAAAAATAAATCGCGAGTTAAACCTACAAGCAAGCTCTCTCTACTAAGCCTCTGAAAACTAATAAACAGATGATCTCTACCAAAATCATCCCTAATAAAACTTTAACTTTAATATACGATGCTACAAATATATATAAATACTTATATATATATTACAATAATCCTATCTATTAATAGGATCATTAAATTGTCCAAACCATTCACCACCGATTAATTATTAATCATACCTAGACCAATCCCCCGTTTATAATTTTCTTATAAAATAAACTCCACTCACCTTAATTCTATCCTAAACAGTAATTTAGTCATTTAAGCAATAAATTACAATTAAAGGGATAATATAATTAATTCAAAACCAGTAATACTTTTGATTGTATAAAGTACATATCCACTATTCAAGCTTCAACAAATCATCCACGTCTCCACCAATATTATTTTATTAATATATATAAAATAATAACTACCAGTTAGGTACTAAATTATTCTAACAAGAATGTACAATCCTAATCGACTTATACGTACAATATTCATAGATGAATTTTAAATCATCTACCCGTAGCAATTTAGTTATGCATTGGCAATTCAACCATGCCATTATAAATATACTTATTTATGTATTAGCAATTCAACCATGCCCCTTTATGTATATTTACTTATACCATTAATTTGCAACTCAACCATGCTTCCCATATATGAAATTTATTCATAACTGATAAGGCAATATATTAAAGCCTTTAACAACTCATTCATGCCTACAATTCAACCATGTACTAACTTTAAACTTAACTATAAGCTAATTCATACATAGACATCATATGCATGTTATATGCACAACCTTAATTTAAAAACCAACCTAATATGATTTAATCAACTATATTACTATACCAAATAAGAATAATAATCTTAAATGATATATCTATATATACATATACCTATATTATATAATATACATGTGTAAGACCATCCATAATAATATTTGATTATTTAAATTATATGTATACATATATCAATAAATATAAATATATATACATATCCCTCTATACTCATCCTTAACAATTGAACCATCTATACACATATAAATAGATATAAATATATATATCTACTTCCTTCCGTAATAAATTATTAATTAATTATATTTACGCAACTTAAAGACTACTAAATATCTTAATAACACTCTATAGCCGTTAAAAAACCAAGAACACCTCCTCTAGGGTTAATTTCAACCCTAACAAGCTTGAAAATTATTTTAGGACATCTCCGGACTTCACAGGACCTTTTTGAGACTCCAAACACCTCCCTACGCGCCCCCACACTCTCCTAAACACCCTGCGCGCGCCTCCACAGCTTTTTCTATGCTCGCATGCGCCCCCATGCGCCTATACACACGCTGGGGTTGACACACACGCATACACGCTAGGACGCGCTTCCACGTGCACGTACACGTGGCCACGCGCTACCACGCGTGTTAGCTAGTCTCTTGGTGACGTGGCCCGATCCTATTGGTCAGTTGTACCGCGTCCCTGCAGGTGCGCTGCACTGAATCAATCCGCCATCTTCAATGGTCCAGATCTGCGATGTATCATCTCCCCCATGCGCCGCACTACACCGAAGCAGCCAATGATCATCAGGACCATCCTAGGGTCCTGATTTAAGCGCATTGAAGTGCCATGCGCCTTACTGCACCAAATCCCAGCCCTTTATTTGGGTGCATCGATTTGAAGCCTCCAATATATATTATATAAACAGTATATATTTTATATAGAATATACAAAATAAATTCTAAAATAATATACTATAATTCTAGAAAAAAATTATAAAATTCTAGAAAAATTCCAAAAGTTTAGTTTAATTATTTTTGGGAAAATATGAACATGTATAATTATATTAAGATCTCTTTAATTTAATTAACTATACTAAACCAACTCAAAAACAAATTATAAAAATTACAGAAAATAAAACCTAATTAATATAACCTCTACTACAAAACTAAATTATCATAACAATACATATATATATTCAAATGTTTAAATCTATCACTTTGCAAAGAATAAACATGTTCATCTAATCCGATTAATAAATTATTTTTAATCAACCAAATAAAAATGTAATTTTGATACTCAAGGTGATAGGTTTATGAATTCTAAGAAGAGAAGTAAAGAAGAACTCGCCTGTCTCTTCGTTAGCCCTTATTCTTCTCTCTCTGTATCTCTTATTTTTCTAACGTGAATACTTCTATCGATCAAACCTTAAGTACATATTTATATACATTAATACCTAATCCTAATCCTAATCCAATAATGACTACTAAATAAAAAAGAAATTAATAATCATTAACTAATATATATATATATAGACACACATATTTTATATATAATATATATATATGCATATTACCTTCCATAATTTAATTATTAATTAATTAAATCATATATATATATATATATATATATATGCTTCCATAATACTTATTAATTAATTATATTTATATATAATTAAATATATATCTATAATCATACAAAACAAATGATTTAAAAAAAAAAAAATCACAAAAACATAGGCTTTATTAATGAACCCAATAAGGTTTCATTTAAGCCCAAGACCCCATCCATTGGTCCCACTTCTTTTAAGCCCAAACCAATTAACTTAAATAATTAAATAAATTAAATTAAACCTATTAAATACAAATAATTCACAATAAAAATATACAAACTTAAATACATACAAATCAAATCAACAATTCACTCATAGCATTCCACATATCAAACACCATACTAATTTAACAAATAAAATTACAAAATATAATTTAATTCAAACAAGACAATTAATCTACACACTTATTTAAATAAAACAAATCATTTAAAAAAATAAATAAAAGTAATTAAATCAAACAAATCATTAAAAAAAATAAACTAATAGTAAGTAATTACAACTACCCAACAATTTGAGTTTTTGAGTAAATGGATAAGCGACCACCCGTTACAGTTAGTATCAGAGTTAAACTCAATCCTTAATTCAGTGTCACGCTAAGCGCATGGCCCAAAAAGCGTCCAAGTGAACCACTTCGGATAGGCAGGAGTGGCTCGACCGCACGAGAACGTTGCGAATTTGAATACCGAACAGTTTGAACTTTTAAGTAAATAGGCAACACCCATTACACATGCCCACTTTGATTACCTCATCTCAACAAAGTGACATCTCAGAGTAAGGGTGAATCCAGGAATTATCAATAGGGGGCTAGTATTGAACATAAATTTAATTACATAATTTCATAAGCAAATTTTTTTTTGAATGGGTTAAAAGGGAGAGCTAATACTACTATTAAATTTAAAAAAAAAAAAAAAATTGGGCTGAACATACTATACTAAATTATTATTATTATTATTATTATTTTGTGGGGTGGGGGGCTCAAGCTCACCCAAGCCCTGTGTGTCCGCCACTGTCTCAGAGTTGTTTTAATTCAAATTTTGATTTGAGCATTTGATCAATAAAAATCTTAGCATTATGTTCATAGTAGGGATAAGATATGGTCATGAACCCAAAAAAAAAGATAAAATAGTAAAGAGGAAGGATAAAGAAACAGAAAAAAAAAAAAATAAAAAAAAAGCAGTAAAAAGTTTTGACACATGATGGTTGTCACGCCTCTAATTATTGATTAACTTTAGTGGACCCCGTTTTTATTCTTTCATTGGAAATTTAAACTTGATTAACTATTTTAAATCATATGTTCATTTTTTTTTTTCCTTTCCTCTTCACGGGTGTTCTTGAATTTACGACCACCAGTCAAAAAATTAAAAAGAAAAGATCAACAATCAAATCCTACTTATGTACGTATATACTGTAGTTTTTTTTTTTTTTTTTTTTTTTTTTTTTTTTTCAAAAGAAGAAATAATAATTCTGAAATTTTGTTGTTTTGTTTGGGGGAATATAAATTGGGATAATGGGGTGAAGCTTTTGATGCAAATGTGGGACGAAAATGGAAAGGAATACGAAAATGTCGTCTATGGCACGCCGAGGGACCATCAATATCTCTTCCCACTATGGGATATCTTTACTTACTTAATCCAAATGATTGGCCGGTGGTGACCCCATAAATTACAATCCCTTTTGTCACTCCAATCCCAGTCTCTCTCTTTATATAGATACACACACACACACACACACACACACACAGAGACACACAGTAAATTATGTATGCCCCAATGGTTCTTTTCAAATGATTAAAGATGATTCCCTTGGCGTGCAAGTTTTTGAAACACTAGGGTGTTTCTAGGTTTTGTAACTTTTGGTACACTCCTGTTATCATGGAATCAAATGAAAATTATGAAATTATGTCATACCGTTGTACCATTAAGTTTAAAGGGTAGTCACCTCCACTGCATTGGTTGATGGAGTGATTCTCATTGTTTAAGAATCATGATACAATGTTTGTAAGTTGGAGACGTCGAATCGGTTAAAGACATCGAACTGACTAATGGAGTGATTTACATCGTCCAAGAGTTGTGATACAACGTTTAAAAGTCGAAAATATTAAACTTCATTTACATACAGTCTGACTACATATCATTAAAAAGAAAAAAATATTATTCGAATTATAGGTTTATTTTATCATAGAGGATTTGATTACAATTTTAAGTAGTTAATTGGAGTTGGAAGAGCTAGCTCCAAATGAACAAAGTTGTTTCTAAAACAAAAGTGGTGGTCAAAGATCTATCCGAAATAGTAGAATTTTGAGTATGAGGCATTGAAGGGATGGATTTATATCCATGGTTGACCAAATGAAGAAGATCTGTTTTTACTCAGCTAGTTAAGTGTGAAAAGACATATATAGGTACTGTTGTTGTTGAGCCAAATATTTGAAAAAGCTTTTGCTACTACTACTACAGTTTTGAAAGGGTGAATTGAGATTGTGAAAGCCTTTAATTATGGCCTTTCCATATGTCATACCCCACTCTCCCAAATAAAGTTGGTAAAGAGAATAATTAATACTTTTGCTTTTAAATTAAGATAAAATCTATCTGCTTTTCTTCTATGTTCTGGATAAGAGTTTGAGATCTCATCCTCTCTCTCTCTCTCTCTCTCTCTCTCTCTCTCTCTCGAGTTTAGAGAAGAAGAATATCACATAATTAAGTTAGATGACTGGAAGGTCTTAAAAAACAAGGGAAAAAAAGAAAAAAGAAAAAAGAAAAAAGAAAAAAAGAAAAAAGAAAAAGCAATTCCATAAAAACTTATATTTAAATATGAAAAGTGAGTAAAAATTGCTTGGACTTATATTTGAAGGTCTTAAATGATTGGGCTATGACAATGGAGAGGAAGCCCAATATTAGCCATCTCTTGGGTCTGAATTGTTCAACAAGGACCATTAAGTTTTTTTACCACAACTAATAACTTCAAGGCCTGAGCTTCTTGAGCCCAATCACAATCAACACTTGCCTGTTTTTTTTTTTTAAAAAAAATAAGAAATCAAAACAAGAAAGTTAATGCCGTGTAAACCCATCTCAAACAAACCTTTACATGCACAAACATGAAGACAATTATAAAACTGTCTCTACATACACACACACAGTCACACACACACATATACACACATATGTGGAAAGTTTACCTGAGCAACTGTCTTTCCCCTAGCCTGGGCAATCTCTTTCAGAACTTCCCAGTCCAAGACTTGGTTGCTTCCCCATAATGTTCCTCTTGCCCCTAAAGGTGAATAAGCGGTGACATGGATTCCCTTTTTCTCACAATACTCTCTCAGCTTATTTTGCTGCCAAAGTGGATTCATCTTTTCAATAAATCCAATCAACTAGTACTTCAAAATTGAAATGTGAAATAAAGAATTTAAAGATATCATATTAAAATTAACTTAGAAGGATATATCCGATAGACGGATTTATGACAATTCATTAAATTTGATATCTTTTGAGTCATGATACGGTTGCATTTATATGAATGGGGAATGACGTCACAATAGCGTTAGTAGATTACTGATATACGATCCTTCTTTCTTGTCAGTCTGGGTGATGAATGCTAAATTCTTTGGTAGGAGATCCACTCACATAAATTACTCGGATACATGTGATTTTCGAAGAACGTAGTACTTATCATTGTGCATTTGCAAATATGTACCATGGCAAAGTTGAACAAAGGAATTCAAAACTCTCCTTGTAACCTATTTTATGGCGTTAGAGTGGTGATTTAATGGCTGAAAACAAATTAAGTAAGCAATGACTTACATCTTACCCTAAACATAATCATGACACTTGATTGACCATGGGATGGATGCTTGAAGTTAGAAGTAAGTGGTCTAACTTCTTACAAGAGAAGTTGCTGACTCCTATATTTTTGGTGAGGCCAAGTTTATGACACTCCTCCATGGCTTCCCAAACACACTTGAAATCCATGGGAACAAGGTTCTCCTCTTTGAAAGGCAGCTCATGCGCGGCTTCTGGCTTCAAGCTCACCGGAAAGTGGATGAGATAAAGATCAACATACTCCAATCCAAGCTTCCCATATAAATTACATACAACGTATGAATTAATTGGAAAAGGAAATGTTATAATATACCTATGTACCATGCATGCAGCAAGCATATATAAATATATGACTAGCTAATTAATTAATTGGGTATATGTATCTGATATATATATATATATATTACTGCAATGTAGTTTGTCGGGCAGGGAGGACAAGGTGAGGGTGTCCATCGCTGCACCAGAGCTCTGAGGTGATGAATAGCTGATCATGAGATGTAATGAGGCGGAGGAACAGAGCTTCTCCTATGGCTTGACCAAGAGACGGTTCGGAGTTGTAAACAGAGGCGGCAAATATGTGTAGCCAAGTTTGATTATTTCATGGTTTCTAATGCTACAAAAGGATACACAACTGTTCCAAATCCCACCATCGGAATAATATTAATGCTACTTGAACCTCCTACTCTAACCTTTGGAATAATCATATTGCTGTTACTGCTTCCCATTTTTCTATTTTCTTAACTATTTTGTGCACCATTTTTTTTTTTTTTTTTGCTTGCCACAAAACAATTTAATTCCTTTGTTTGTGTGTGTAGTAGGACCTATATGACATTTCTCAAAATTAAGACAATTTTGTTAGCTTCTATGAGAGATTTTAGAAGTGAAACGACTAAACATAAAATATCCTAGGAACTGGCTGACAATCGGAGGCACATGGGCATACATGTCAACTACTAAGTTGTAGGGTTTTGGTAACATCTTCTCAATTGTAGTCATTCTTGCGGAAGCTGTTAGTTAATCAAGTTGTGATTAAGAGAATAAATGATCTAGAAGGAGTTGATAAGTCAATTTATCCAATTTTTGTGATTGATTCAATTACTCACAATTATGATTAATTTCATATCCATCGTTACAAAAATAAATGTACTGTAAAGTGAAGAAAGTAAAGTAGAGTTTAAGAGATGACATCAGTTCTTTAGCGAGAAAACTTGATTGGCAGAATAGATCAAACGTTATGAAAAAATCGTAAAGCTGTTAGTTGATCAAGTTGTGATTAAGAGACTAAATGGTCTAGAGGGAGTCAATAGGTTAATTTACTTAATTTTTGTGATTGATTAAATTATTCACAATCACGATAATGTAAAGTTTATGATTTCATATATATATATATGTCTATAAATGTTAAAGTTGTAAGATTTTTTTTTTCAAAAAGTAAGTGGGACCCACCATTATATTAAACCTCACAACCATCAATTTTCTCTCTTGGCATAATTCTCTCTTCCAGACTTGCAGTGGCTTCTTTTTTCTTTTTCTTTTTTTTCTTCTACAAATTTCAAGGCTTGATCTTTCTCACATCAATTGAAATTTGGTAGAACTTTGTGAAGCAAAGTCGGAGAGCTCGTCGAGGTCGTTGATTTGATAGGAGCTAAGCACTATTTGGCTAAGCCTAGGGATTTCGAATTTAGGGTTTGAAATTGGGGACTTTGAGGGTTTTCACTTCCATTGAGGTAGGGGTGTTCTAATATACAACTTCTTGGATCTTTTGTAAATTTTTCCCCTTAAATTTCATCCTAAGCATGCTAATTTTGATTACCTAGTTTGTGGTTGTTGTAAGTATCTGTAATCAAAATGATAAATGTATTCCATGTACTATTTGAGTTCATATATATGACTATTTTCATTACGGTGAATAAGTATGCTTAGTGTTGACATGTTGTATGTCCTATGATTTTTTATTATTATTTATTGTTTTGAAAATTTGATGTTATGCTTATAAAAAATAATAATAATAATAATAAATAAATAAAATAAAATAAATGAATGTTTAGAAATTCCTATTAAATTGTGATGATGATGTAAATGGAATCTGCGAAAGCCTATAGTCGAATTGATTATTAGAAGCATGAAGCATCCATACATCTATTGGAAAAGAAAAGGGGAAAAGTGTTTTTAAAATAAATGAAATTGTTTTGGAAAAAATGTTTTCTAAAAGTGATTGTGAAAACCGGACGCCTAGAAGGCGCCTAGTGGTCTGTGATGTTAATGTGATCTAGAGGGAGTTAGAGAGAGACTCTAGTGGAGTTGAGCTACTTAGGCCCAGACGACGTCATGGAGGTAACATGTGGTCGAGGAAAGCTAGCCAATCCTCCCCTCGTGGCACCATAAAGGTGCTATGGGCCGGATTGCATTAACAATTTGGAACGGCAAAAATGAATTGTTTTGAAAAATGGGGAGCGACATTGGCATGACATTGTATTTCATTAGCATATTTGGTGTATTTGTGATTTGATGACATTTATTTATATACTTGTTGTGATTACTGATATGCATCCTCTATTGTATGATCCCGCCTACTTTTTACCTATTCTTTGCGAGGATTCACGGGGTCATAAGAAGTGTGTCTTAGACACTTCCTACTGAGCTTATGCTCACCCCATTATTTTTAACATTTTTCAGGATACGGAAAAGAGGTGGCGGACGACGATCCACCACAAGTTTAGACGAGCTTGGAGATCTATTTTATTTTGCTATCTTTTGTATTAGAATTCTAATATTTTGTAAATGTAATCTTAACTATTTTGTGAAACTATAGTTTAACTGGTATAATGTTGTAAGTTATGAACTTTTAAATTTTAGCTATATTTTATGGATTATAATCTGATGTAACTAAAGTGTGTTCCTTATTTGGATGAGATAGATGAACGAGACTTTTTATATGTATGTAATCATTTTGGAAATGTGGTATAATATTTGTATTGTGCGTTGGGACATGATAGATTAGTTTTAAGACCCAGTGAGGCCATTGCATTTTTATATATTTCAACAGGTTATAGAAGGACTTTTTCTATGGAGGTCATGCCAAAATTTTATATATTTTATTATTATTATTATTTTGGTATCTTTTGGGTCGTTACAAATTTAGTATCAGAACAATGATTCGAATACCATTAGGACGACGGGTAGAGACCTACCTAGGATTGTATAGGGAGTTGAGTTATTTGTTTACTTGTTTAATTGCTTACGTGATTGCATGCTTATATGCTTATGTGTTAAGGTGTTTAATTATTTGAAAAGCATGCTTAATTGTTTAACTGTTTATATGATTACGTGCTAAGTGCTTAATGTTGTTGTATATTATTAGCATGATCATGTTTATTATTAGTTGGGTATTCTGGGAATATGGAATGTGTTTATATGCTTCCATTCTTGTCAAGTCATTTGTGTGAGGACTCTATTCTCGTACGTATTTTAGTGTCATCGTTTTTTATCCGTTTCCTTTTTCTTATAGTGTCATGCCACCAAGAAAGGATCCCGGGGAAAGTTCTAGCTCTAATCCCGTGGAAAGGGATCAAAAGCAAGTTGAAGAAGATATCTTGTTACGTGATTTGGTCCCACTAAGTGGGGGAAAAGCGAAGGGGACTGTTGATCCACCTCTTCAAATAAGTGAAGAGCAGCTTAAGTCGGCAGTGCAGGCGGCCTTTCATGATGTGTTTTGGACTGCAGTGGCATCATCGTCACAGGTTGTGCCACCACTGGCACCACCACCACGACCACCACCATCCTCCAAAGACAAATGAGTCAGATGATACTCTTTACCACCTTGCAAAGTTTGTGAAATTGATGCCAACTCCATTTGAGGACGGTCCAGATCCACTTATTGCAAATAGTTTCATAAATAGAGTGGAAATGTAACGACCCTAAAAGATACCAAAATAATAATAATAAAATAAATAAAATTTCGACATGACCTCCGTAGAAAAAGTCTCTCTATACCCTGTTGAAAAAACATAAAAAAAATACAATGGCCTCATTAGGCCTTAAAACTAATCTATCATGTCCCAACGCACAATACAAATATTATATCACATTCCCAAAATGATTACATACATATGAAAAGTCCCCTTCCGACATCTCATCCAAACAAGGAACACACCTTAGTTACATCAAGTCACAATCCATAAAATGTAGCTAAAATTTAAAAGTTCATAACTTACAACATTATACTAATTAAACTAAAGTTTCAGAAAATAGTTAAGATTACATTTACAAAATATTAGAGTTCTAATACAAAAGATAGCAAAATAAAATAGATCGCCAATCTCGTCTCAATTTATGATGGATCGTCGTCCGTCACCTCTTTTCCGTGTCCTAAAAAATGTAAAAAAAATAATGGGGTGAGCATAAGCTCAGTAGGAAGCGTCTAAGACACACTTCTTATATTCCCGTGAATGTGTATTTGGTGTATTTGTGATTGGATGACATTTATTTATATACTTGTTGTTATGATTACTGATGTGCATCCCCTATGGTATGATCCCACCTACTTTTTACCTATTCTTTGCGAGGATTCACGGGGTCATAAGAAGTGTATCTTAGACACTTCCTACTGAGCTTATGCTCACCCCATTATTTTTAACATTTTTCAGGATACGAAAAAGAGGTGGCGAACGATGATCTACCACAAGTTTAGACGAGCTTGGAGATCTATTTTATTTTGCTATCTTTTGTATAGAACTCTAATAATTTATAAATGTAATCTTAACTATTTTGTGAAACTTTAATTTAATTGGTATAATGTTGTAAGTTATGAATTTTTAAATTTTAGCTATATTTTATGGACTATGCCTTGATGTAACTAAAGTGTGTTCCTTGTTTGGATGAGATGGAGGAACGGGATTTTTTATATGTATGTAATCATTTTGGGAATGTGGTATAATATTTGTATTGTGCGTTGAGACAGGATAGATTAGTTTTAAGGCCCAGGCTATTGCATTTTTATGTATTTCAACAGGTTGTAGAGGGACTTTTTCTGCGGAGGTCATGTCGAAATTTTATATATTTTATTATTATTATTATTTTCGTATCTTTTGGGTCGTTACAGATAAATTAAATATCCATAATCACAAAAAGAAATAATGTAAAGTGAAGCAAGTAAAGTAAAATTTGAGAGATGACACTAGGTCTTTAGTGAGGAAACCCTGATTAACATAATAGACCAATCGTTTGGGAAAAACCTCGAGTACTTTCGCAGTCCTGAGCAAATCGATCCACTATGTTTGAAACAAAGAACAGTTGACTCAGACTCAAACTTACATCCTATCGCTCTATCAAAACTCAATTGCTGACCGTCCCTAACTTTGTAACTTCCTGTTTAATAGCACTCGACTTTAGCTTTACTTTTAATCTCTGTAGAAAAGTCGATGATAGATCAACCAACACTACACGAATGTTGTAATCCCTTCAAAGTGTATTCAAAGCCTACTCTTCCTAGCTGACAATTAGAGGCACATGGGCATACATGTCAACTACTCATTTTGATTGATCAAGTAAAAGTAGTAATCTATTCTATCCCAGTCATTTTTATACCCCACGTGCATTTTGCAGTACGTTTTAGTGAGTAGATTTTAGATTCTTATTTATAAGATTTGATCAACTTTTATTATTTTGATTATTAACTAATGGATAAAAGTGTAAAAAAAATTCTCTGAACTATTATCAAAAATGAAAATACCTGAATTATTTGGGATTGCAAATCGAACCCTCATCTATACCAACGTTGTAAAAAGGACCCTCACGATCACCGAATCACATTTTTTGACGTCTATTCATTCACGTGCCAGTATATTTTCAAGTAATGCTCAAATTACCCTTTTTTATTTAATGCTTTACACAAATATTATATAGTTTACACAAGCAAGGCCCATGGGCCAACAAGAGGACAACAAACAAACCACAGAGCAGGGTCTCAGACAAAGGCCGAAGCTAATGGAATTGGGCTAGGAAAAAAGAAACATTAGCTACACAACAAGAGAGGTAAAAGATCATCTCATTCTCAACAAGGGCCCAAGCCCAGATTTAGAAGCAAAGCCTACTGTCACGCCTCGGCTATGGAGGTTACGCCACGCAGGCGACATACAGGCGCTAAGTAGGACGCTGCATGGCAAGTGGAGTTTCTAGAGTCTTCCGGAGTTGTCTAGTGTTGTGTGGAAGATTCTAGTTATGTGTAGTATATTCTAGAGTTCTCCAGAATTGTGTGGAGTAGTATGGAGAGCTCTGGAATGTTGTAGATACTTGTGGATAAGTATGGAAGTGTGAAGAAGATGGGAGAAGATTCTAGACGATCGATCTCCACCGTTGGTTAGAATGCATCCTAGCCATCCATTAGGGATAGGGATGCCTATAAATAGAGGTAGGACTTCATTTTGTAGGCAACAAGTCCTGGAGTGAGCCTTGAGAGCCTTGTAGAGAGTTTGAGTGCTAACCTTGTACAAAACATTCTTTGAAGTAATAGAGGTGTTCTTTCCTTACCAACTTAAGTGCCTTAGTGTGTGTGAGTGTGCAAGCCAAATGAGAAGAGGGCGAGGGCTACTACAACACTAGTAAGCGCACGAGGGGAGTGTGTTGGTTAAGGTGTGTACGAGAGTTAGGCTGACCAAGTACTTGTAAGAGTAGAAGCAAAGTCTTGGTGCCGCATGGGAGTAGCTAGAGTGATGCTGAAATTCTAAGTCAGTGACAATACGCATGCATAACAATGTAGTAATATATTTTATTTTTATATGGAGGATTAAAATTTATGACAAACTAATCATATTATTATAATATTTCAAGATTAAAGTATGATAGTTCCCACCAAGCCTTGTTGCATTTGTGCGTCACACGAACTTAATGCTATTTGATAATGAAGTGACCAGACACGTAACTCTATTTTAGTGGGTTGCGTCTGTTTGACTGCAAGTTTCCATAGAAAGCCAATATTGACTTCAGGCGGCTTAGTCAACTGTCAATTTTAATAATTGCCATCTAGATGGGTTTAAAAACATCGTTTTGCCATCAAAAACCAAATATATTCAACCACCTTTCAGTTATTAAATTCACACATTTTATTTATTTATTTATTTTTGGATCATTATTATTATTGCCTTCTAGACTTGATTTTATAAAATGAAAATACATTAAAATAAAATGAAAATCACATTAGATCAATAAGTTTGGTTGCCCACTTCACAATTAATATTATAATATCATTTTTCTAATCTTCTTTATTTCAACTTTTTTCATTTAACAAAGTCTCCCAGCTCACTCTTGCAGGCTGCAAATGATGTCGATGAATGGCATGTGCTTCTGTACATAAATTAATAAATAATAATAATAATAAAAGAATGGCACGTCATTGTTTACTAAATCAATGAATTAAAACTCCAATTTCAATTATAAACTACTTTTTTAAGCATGTCAATTTTAATTCCTATACCACCTACAAGTCCACACAGGAAAAAAAAAAAAAAAAAAAACACACACACACACAATTCACGCACTATATAAAAAAAATATTCGAGTTTAAACAATCTCGAGCTCTTCTTTAGTGTTGATTTTGCAGTTCACACTAGAACCATATTAGTACTTAGCAACCTTAATTATGACATTTTTACAATAGACTTAGACTTCACCTTGAAGTATGGGTTATGCAGATGTGTACTACCCATAGTCAACGTGAGCCACCTACCAACACAATTCACGCACTATAAGTTTCCAAAGAGATGCTGTGATTTGTGTACACAAACACAAACACACACACACACACACACACACAAGAGACTAGGAATTTTTAACATCAACACACAAGAGACTAAGAATTTTTAACATCAACATCTAAAGAAGAGACTGGGACTTCAGATTTTCAGAAACAGAGTTGAAGCTGAAAAATGGCAACAATCCCTGAGGTGAGTTTGGGGACTTGTGGGGTGACCATGACCATGCCGGTAATCGGAATGGGCACATGCTCATATCCTACTGCTGATCCAGAAACCACTATCTCAGCAATTCTTGATGCCATCAAAGCAGGCTACCGCCACTTTGATACCGCCTTTGTCTATGGGTCCGAGAAGCCTCTGGGTGAAGCAATTGCTGAAGCTTTACGTCTGGATCTCATCAAATCTCGTGATGAGCTCTTCATCACCACCAAGCTCTTTGGCAGCTTCGCTGAGCGTGATCTCGTTGTTCCTGCCATCAAAATGAGCCTCAAGTAAGTACTTCACCTTTTTACAAACACACATACATATATATACCGATGTATAATTGGAACAGATTTGACTTGGTAGTTATTATTATTTGGTGTAGGAACCTTCAGTTGGACTACGTTGATATGTATCTGATACATTGGCCACTGAGGCTGAGCCAACAGATTCGTCAAACCCCAGTTCCAAAAGAATTTATATTTCCCTTGGATATCCCATCAGTGTGGGAAGGTATGGAAGAGTGTCAGCAATTGGGTCTCACCAAGGCCATTGGTGTCAGTAATTTCTCTTGTAAGAAGCTTGAGGAGCTCCTCTCAATTGCCAAAATCCCACCCGCTGTCAATCAAGTGAGTTCATTTCACAATATATATATATATATAAGGACTATTTGCCTAACTAAATTATTCTGTATAAGCATGTGATAATGTGGTTTCGAGTCTAGAGCAGTCTTTTGTGCAAAATTATGACAGTTTATTCTATCTAACACTAGCTACCACCCCCTGCATAAACTGAATTCACACGGAGCTATGGCATTTTATGCATATATGTATCTCTGTGTGTGTGTGTGTGTGTGCACATTTCAAGATTCTGATAGCTTGTGTTCAGGTGGAGATGAATCCAATTTGGCAGCAGAAGCAACTGAGAGGTTTCTGTGAGAAAAAGGGTATTCACATAACAGCTTACTCTCCTTTGGGTGCAAAGGGGACCAAATGGGGAGATAACAGAGTTATGGACTGTGATGTGCTGGAAGAGATTGCCAAGGCAAGAGGGAAGACCACTGCCCAGGTTTGTACAGTTTCCTCCATTATATTTTAATTTTTCATCTTCAATACCTTTCGAGTGACCATCTCCAAGCCACAAATATCGGGTAAAATCAAAAGTTTGAGGTCCCAAGGAGTTGAGCATGGGAACTCTAAGATATACTACATGCTCTACTCCAACTCAACTACCTTTGAGGTTTATTATTTCTAGTTTTGACTACGCAGGACATTTCAATTTAAACTCAAAACTGAGCATATATGTTGAGCGGAACCTTGTCATTTATGGATTTATCTTTTGAGTTTGCATGTGGATCACTTTGATGAATTGCCTCACATTCTGCAGGTTTCTTTAAGATGGGTGTATGAACAAGGGGTGAGTTTGGTAACAAAGAGTTTCAACAAGGAGAGGATGAGGCAAAACCTTGAGATATTTGATTGGTCCTTGACTGATGAAGAATTAGAGAAGATCGCTCAGCTTCCTCAGCGCAAAGTCAACCTGATTGCCTCCGTTTTGGGACCCCATGATTTGTTGATGGAGCTTGATGCAGAGATCTAAGTGGCTTGAGCTTTTGGCTTCTATATATCAAGCAGACGTACTATAGAGTTCAAATCCAATCAGCTATTATTGTCTCTGGAAAAATGTATACTTTTCCTAATAATGTTTAATGAAAATGATAAGGGATCAGAAGCACAAACTACATTCTTAAAAGGCGGTATCTATGTGCCAAATTTTAAATATTGTATTTTGTTTTTATTTTTCTTATATTGAGGGGCATCCCCACCACTTGGATAGGAGTAATCCCCCTGAGCTACATGCAAAGGCCCCAAAGCATGTGAGTAGGGACTAGCCCCAAGTGAGAAATGGATCCCATGACCTTGAGTCAACTGTTTTACCCTTTAAGATCTATGGTACTGTATGTTAGATAACAATAATTGCAGCAATCTTTTCCTTTATATGGTAACAAAATATTAAAATCACGCACATGCTCTTTATCTATGAAATACTGCAACAATTATAATGTGTATAGCGTATACGTGCATATATATATATATGTGTGTGTGTTGTGTCTATAAGGCATCTGCTGTGAAGCAATCTGCACATAATCACATCTAACTCCTTATTGTCATAGTTCAACATGAAGAGCTAGCCATGCGAAGGTTAGGAAATACATTTTGATAAAGCTTGTCACTGATTTTGATTTTGTTCTTCCTTTGAGTTCAAATCCACAATAGTCTGAATTGCAGAGTTTCTTCAAGTAGAGAAACAGAAATGCATCCCCAAAGGGGCATCCGAAATAGCTCATGGGCTGCTTCTCAACGTTAAGGACTTGGGCTTGAACCATGTCTTAGAAAATACAAATAATATTATGAAATTCCGTTCTGTGAGGGGGAAAAAAAAAAAAAAAAAAAAAACTACGTATATATGTTCAATATATTTTATTGAATCTCACTTCTTAAAAGAGGCATATTTATTGTTAAGAGTTATGTTACCTCTCCTCATACACAGTACATCATAATCATGGAGCATATTAATACACTATTTAGTACCTCGTGAAAATACTAGTGATAGCTTAAGCAAAAAAACAGTAGAAATATAAGAAGAAGAGAAAGGAGAGAATTGTGTAAACGCTAACATGGCTTCTGTGTTCACTCTTAGAAGAATCATGCAGAATTTTGAGGTTTCTTCTTGTTTGTCTGTGAATAAGGATAAGCCAGAAGTTTTTTTCACCTCTTCTGTCAAAAGGAAAGCTAATATTTTGAGAATACTTGGTTGCAAGCAGGGCACACACCCTTTTACTTATTTAGGGTTACCTATATCAGATAAAGGACTGAAGAGACTTGACTGTAAGCCTCTATTAGATAAAGTGATGGCAGCCACTTCTAGATGGGCTGGAATGAATCTCTCTATGGCAGGTAAGGTTGAGTTATTAAGGTCTGCAGTCACCCCAATGGTGCATTACTGAGCTTCAGTTTTTACTTTACCAGCAGCTGTCATTAATTTAATTGAGAGAAGGATGAGGAATTTTGCTTGGGGACATGAGGATAGCACTGTGAAGCTGCATGGGTTATGTCGGAAGAAAATCACAGCTCCAAAATTAGGAGGAGGTATGGGATTAAGGAAACTTGTGGATATTGATAAGGCTGCCAAATGTGCCTTGGCTTGGTATCTTCTTTTATCTAAGGACAGGCTGTGGGTTGCTTGGCACAGGCAATGTTATATTAAGAATTCTAATTTCTGGTTGGTGGTGCCTCGAGAGGCTCATTCAGCCATTTGGAAATGCATTATTTCAGTTAGGGAAATACTGAAAAATAATTGCAAATTTCGTATGGGTAATGGACAGGAGCTTAAATTGTTTTTGGATCCATGGTGTGATGGACATTTTCTGTCAGAGAATTTCAGTTTTAGAACTTTGAGAAGTATTTCTACTAACAAGCAAAGTGAATTAAGCACTTGTATTGTTCAGAATCAGTGGCATTTTGTTGAAGTACCTTTGGAGGTTCAAAATTTCATACAACAGTTCAGAATTTATGGAGGGTGTGATCAGATCTTGTGGCAGCATAATGGTTTTACTTTTAAAGCTGCGTGGGAGGCTTGCAGAACTTCTAAACCAGCTGTACCTTGGTATTTTCTGGTCTGGAATGGTGGTAGGCCTAGATGGTCAGTGTATTGTGCCTTAATTCTACAGAATGCAGTCCTCACTGGTGATAATTTGCAGAGGAGGGGAATTTAGCTTCTAGATGCTGTTTGTGCTGCAGAAATGAGGAGTTGGTTGATCATGAGTTTGTGGAATGTAGTTACTCTTGGCAAGCGTGGTGTGAATTGGCTGGTATGTTTAGTTGGAGGGTTCAGAAGTCTACATGTGGGGAATTTGCTGCTGCTTTGGCACAGCTTTTCAAAGTGCAATCTGTGAGGAACAAGATATCAAAGACGGTTTTTTCAGCAGCTATGTATTATTTGTGGAATGAGAGGAATGGTAGTCTTCACAGAGATACTTCTAGATCTCCCTCCATTCTTGTTAAGAGCATTGTTTGGGATGTTTTGGATGTTGCTGGAATGCGCCTTCAAGATTTGATTAGTTAATTTAAGGGAATAGGGGTTTTGTCTCTATTTTCCTGGTGTTGGTTCAGTGAGGTGTTACCCTCACTTTCTGCTTTGTACAATATTGTTTTATGTTTATAAAAAAATTCTTCATTTAGGAAGAAAAAGAAAAAAAAAAAAAAAAAAAAAATTGTTTAAAGGCTTGAATGAGATGTATAAACACTCATTCACAACTCTCATATTTATATACTAAAAAGAGCACATGTTATTATTACAATAAATGACACTGGATGAAATCATTGCATATTTTATGCCTAGACATATGCGTAAATAAAGTCAAATCCATGATTTGTGGCTATCATATCTCAGATAATATGGTAAGTCACATCTCATGATTTGCGCCTATCATATCTCGGCTAACACTCCCCCTCAAGTTGGTGCATGGATGTCTGAGACTCCCAACTTGGACAATGCATCCTTAAATACGGTCTTGCTAACACATGCAAATCTGATTAGTGATGCTTTTCTATCAAATGAAGTGCCGATCAACAAATCAAAGTGCCTCCCCTGCCCAGCTAAAGTCAAATCCATGATTTGTGGCTATCATATGGTAAGTCACATCTCATGATTTGCGCCGATCATATCTCGGCTAACACTCCCCCTCAAGTTGGTGCGTGGATGTCTGAGACGCCCAACTTGGACAATGCATCCTTAAATACGGTCTTGCGAACACGTGTAAATCTGATTAGTGATGCTTTTCTATCAAATGAAGTGCCGATCAACAAATCAAAGTGCCTCCCCAGCCAATAAACATTCAACAATGTCTTCTCATACCAGAAACAACCAACCATGTCTCCTCAAACTGTAAACAACCAACAAACAATGTATCCTCAGACCATAAACAACCAACAAACAATGTCTCCTCAGACCATCTCCCTTCATACACATGTTTAAAATATATAGATAGAAGAATCAACAATGTTTCCTCAGACCATTCCCCTTCATACATATGTTTAAACAATGTAGATGAAAGAATCAACAATGTCTCCTCAAACCATAAAAAAACAACCACGTCTCCTCAAACCATTTCCGAATGGGAGGTTTCGAACTTACAATGCCCTCATTGAGGTCGGATAGCCCTGCCTACTCGACACCTCCCGGATGGGGGATGCCTCCTTAGATCATTCTCGAATGGGTGGTGCCAAACTTGCAATTCCCTCATTGCAGTTGGACCACCCTGGCTCTGATACCAAGAAGAAATATAATATAGAAGAAAGAGAAGAGAAATATGTAAAAGATTTGAATGAGATAAATCACTCATTCACACCTCTAGTATTTATAGATAAAAAGAACACATGCTCATATTACAAGAAATCAAATCAAAATCAAATCATAGCATATTCTATGTTATAATTCGTGGCTATCAAATCTTTGCTAATATGGTAAGTCATTTCATAAATCGTGGCTATCATATTTGCTAACAATAACTCATGTGCAATAAGTGAAATAAACCATGCAGTAGAAAGTAAATATCCTTAAAATCCGAACTTTGGCTTGTTTTGAGTTCATTACCCAACTAATAGGAGGCATTTGTTTTAATTACCCAATTACCTTTTGGGCCCCTTACACCACATGATCTAAACCCTAACTAAAAAAATGCTAAGCAGAGGAAAACACCAATCAACTCAGAAAACATTATCGGCAATTTGGGTTGGGGGGGGGGGGGTTGTTACTCACACTAATGGATGTGAGATATAAAATTTGTAATTGGCGAATTTCGTTGTCAAAACAAGTCCGATCGAGTTGCAATTTTAAGTTCAAATTTCAAGTTCAAGATCGGGAGCGGAATTGAAGAATTGTTTGTGATCAATAGCTTGACAACATCAAAAAGGGTAAGAACAACACTTCAGGAAGCTTAACTAGAAGGTAAGGACATTTGCATGTTTTCGAAAAATTAGCGTTGCCAAATTTTTCTAAGTATAAAGCCATTAGTTCAGGTCTGGCCAACTTGAACCGGTTCAATAGCAGCTGAACCGTTCAAGTGTTAAAGGTTCATTTTTAAAATAACATACTGGCCAACTTGAACCAGTTCAAAGGCAACTAAACCGGTTCAAGTTCTACAACAGTTTTTGGTGACTTTGTTACCTACTCTGTTTTAACTTCCTATTATGCATAGACTTTCTCCTAAAAGCTTATGCACAAAATTGACTTGTTTTCCAAGTACAATTAAGGTTTCAAAAGTCTATAAAAACATATTTTCTCACTTAGGGTTGTGTGGCTTTTTGCATTAAAATTCGGATTTTCATTAAGAGCTTTTTTATGAGATTTTTAAGAACATACACACTATATACACACGAGTGAATTAGGGTGTTGTTCAAAATCTTGATCATGACTAAGCTATTAAAGATTGCATTTACAACGATCAGAGAACACATATTTTATTTCTTCTACAACAAATTTAGAGTCAAAGAAGAAGAATTTCCGATCACACTTTGAAGGCATTAAGGCGTTTGCGGAGTGTTGTTGATCTACCAGCAATCCTTCTACAAGGTTTGAGGCACAAGTCCGAAGTCGAGAGCTGTTGGACAGGAAGTCGCAAAGCCAGGGGCGTTCAGCGGATTGAGTCTTGGTAGAGTAAAGGGGCTTAAGTTTGAGTCAAAGTCAAAGTTTAGTGTACTTTGCTTCATACATAGTGCATCATTTTACACTTAGGATAGCGCACAAAACCTCGAGGTTTTCCAATTGGTTTCCTCGCTAAAATCCAGTGTCACTCTAACTTTATTTTCTCATTATTTTATGTGAGATTGTTAATTAACTCGTAATTTTAGTAGAATAAAAATTGGATAAAGAAACACGTAATTAATCCCTCTCTAAAACAGTTTTTAAAACTCAACTTTCCACGACCTATTCCTCT